ACCTTTTATTGGGATTTGGGTGAAAATTTACAGAGCAAATTTGTTTTCCGTTCAACAATTCATACACATTTTGTTTTGTGATATTGATTGTAATCCCCCAAATCTAGCAGCATTCTTTCCCACGGTGTAGCAGCACTCTTCCCACTTCCTCCCTGTGTTTACCATTTCCCTTCATCCTCCTTTCCTACCCCTTCCTGCCTTCTAAGCCTTTACTCTTACTCATTACCATCTAGTGGATTCCAACTCATAGCAACACCCGCAGGGTTTCCAAGGCTGTAATTCTTTATGGAAATAGACTGCCCCATCTTCTTTCTGTAGAGCGGCTATTGGGTTTGAATCACTGACCTTCTGGTTAGCAGCCAAATACCTTATCAATTACACCACCAGTGCTCCTTCCTTCTAAGCTTTATCCCTGAACAAATGCTGTCTTTTTGATCTCATGTGGTGATTGCTTTAAGGAATGTGTACTTCCCTGGTATGATTGTTCACCTTGTAGACCTGTCCATCATTTGGCTGAAAGTTGAACCACAGGGTGCGTTTAGTTCCAGGACTGAAGGGTGTCTAAGGACCATAGTCTCAGAGGTTCCACCAGTCTTCATCAGACATGTAAGCCTGGTCTTTTTTTATAATTTTGAGTTTTGTTCCACATTTTTCTCCCACTCTACCCAGGGCTTCGTATTGTGATCCTTTCAGAGTAATGGTGGCAGGCACCATCTAGTTCTACTGGTCTCAGGGTCATGGAAGGTGGGTTTCACATGGCCCTTAGTCCTTTAGGCCAATTGTTTCCTTGAGTCATTGATTTTCTTCACTCTTCTTTGCTTTGGACAGGGAGAGACCAATAGTTCATAGGGCTTCCATTGGCTGATTTTTCAAAAGTAGATTGCCAGACCTTTCTTCCTAGTCCATCTTAGTCTTTGTAACAGTGGCATAGGGAAGGCTCTGACCTTCTCTAACTTTGTAAGAGGGAAGGAGGATCATTATCAGCACCCAAAAGCTGATTCCTATATGGTAGAGGTCAAACATGCCTCCTCCCACCAACATTTTTATCAATTCTCACGCCAACTGTCCCTCCCATGGCACTCTACTTCTTTGCTGGGTTCAATAATGTGTTGCAGTGACTACACAAAACTCACAGACAATAATAAGAGTTGTGGGGTTCATTTGGAAATTAGCACATTACAACTCAGGATCAGAAACAACTCAGGACACAGTTCTTCAATTAGGACAACCTCTTTTCAGCAGACCTGCAGGTACTATTCTTTCTCTCTCTGGCCTTTAGCCTCTTGTCCCCACAGTCCCTTAGTCCTACTTGGGCAAGTGTTACAAAGCTTTTTAGTTCTGCCAATAAGAGCTCTGAGGCATTCCACTCCACCAATAAGCCTCAACCTGAAGGTACTCGGCTTTCTTGCTTCATGGGTCCAGAAGCCCACTGCACCATCTCCTGCTGGTCTCTTGGCTCTGTCTCTGCTGCCACAATTTCTCTGTCACCACTTCTTGCCATCTCTCACCATCTCTCCAGTGTTAAAGCTCTGTTTCCTGGGTCAAGGAGCCTCCCAGCGCAAGGACCCTGGGTCCAAAAGACATTCTCCTCCTGTCTCTTCTTCTTGGTAGTAGTTGGGTCTCCCCTTTTCACCTCTGGGATGGCTCATTAAAAACTTAGTGGGATGGCAAATCTGACCAATCCCCACATAAAGTTCCATACACCTTATTTGCATGGTCCCACCCCCACAAGTGTGCCATGCCCCTTATTTATAATATTAGCAAACTATCCAATCCCCTTGGTAAGCTATAAGCACCTGACATTTGTATAGCCCTATCCAGTCATTTGGTGAGAGTTACAAAGACAATGGCTAGAAGGGCCAAATTAAGTTATTCACTGCACTGTGATCTAGAAGTTCCACTGAAACATGTTTGGCATCATAACAACATACAAGCCTCCATTGACAGATGGCTGGTGGCTGCACGTGAGATGCATTGGCTGGGAATCAAACCCTGGTGTCCTGCATGGAAGGTGAGAATTCTACCATTGGACCACCATTTCCCCTAATCTAACTTAACTGTCCCCATTCCAACCCCAGTCACCACACTCCCATGTTTCATAACTTTCATAGCAACCACATCCACAATCAGAAATAACCTTTGTTTATTTTGTTGATTTGTCATTTTCTTCCGAACTAGGTACAAGCTCCAGGAGAGCTGGGACCAGGGGTGCCTTGTTCATGGCTGTATTCCCAAAGCCTGAAGAAAGTGCTCAATAATTTTTTTTTTTTTAATTGAGGTGGTTGTTGTTGTTAGGTACTGTCGAGTCAACCCCAACTCATAACGACCCTATGTGCAACAGAAGAAAACACTGCCCAGTCATGCACCATCCTCACAATCCTTCCTATACTTGAGCCCATCATTGCAGCCACAAGATGCAATCCATCTTGTTGAGGGTCTTCCCCCTTTTCACTGACCCTCTACTTTACCAAGCATGATATCCTTCTCTAGGAACTGGTCCCTTCTGACCACATGACCAAAGCAGGTAAAATGAAGTGTAACCATTCTTGCTTCTAAGGAGCATTCTGGCTGTACTTCTTCCAGGACAGATTTGTTCATTCTTCTGGTAGTTCATTTATTTTCAGTATTCTTCACCAATACCATAATGCAAATGCATCAACCCTTCTTTGGTCTTCCTTATTCATTGTCCAGCTTTATTAATTGGTCTTCCTTTTAAGTGCATGAATATTATTCTATCACTGACAGCATTGTACGTCAGGATAGATCTCAAAACATTCTTTGTGACAATGAATGTGATACCATTCCTCTTCAATTTGTCATTCCCAGCATAGTAGATCATGTGATTGTCTGATTCAAAATGGTCAAAAGCAGTCCGTTTCAGCTCACTAATGTCTAGGATATTGATCTTTATGCATTCCATTTCATTTTTGAGAACTTCCAAATTTCTTAAATTCCTACTTTGTACATTCCACGTTCCAATTATTAATGAATGCTTGTAGCTGTTTCTTCCCATTTTGAGTTATTCCCCAACAGCAAATGGAGGTCCTAAAAGCTTTACTCCATCCATGTCATTAAGATCAACTCTACTTTGAAGAGGTAGCTTTTTCCCCAGTCTCATTTTAAGTGCCTTCTGGCCTGAGGGACTCATCTTCTGACACTATATCAGACAATGTCTGAGGGCTAGTCATAGTTTTTCAGTAATATATCAAACAGTGTTTCACTGCTGTTCATCAGGTTTTCACTGGCCAATTCTTTGAGAAGGGAGTGGCCCCTTCCTTCTTCCCAGTCTGTGTTGGTCTGGAAGCTCTGCTAAAACCTGTCCACCATGGGTGACCCTGCTGATATTTGAAGTACCAGTGGCATAGCCTCCAGCCTCACAGCAACATGCAAGCCACCACAGTATGACAAACTGAGTGATGAGTGGTGGTAACTGAGGTAGGTATTAATATTAACCCATACTAGAGACAAGAAACCTAAGGCTCATAGATGTTAAGCCACATGTTTAAAGTCACAGAGATCAGAGGTTTTGAACCCAGAGCAAGGATTTGGACCCAGGTCTAAGCAATTTGAGAGTCCATGTTCTTTCCTAAAAAAGGCTGACTTGTTCTGACAGGAATTTTCCTTCCCCCTCGCCTGTTATCAGCTGGCCATTCAGTGCCACCTGTGCAACTGCAGGTTGGCAGAGACCTTGGGTCCTTCCCTTGGCTGTCATTTCTCCACTTGCAGTGGGTGAGGGCCATGGCCTTGGATCATGGGAGACCTGGCGTTCCACCACCTGTTCCAGGAATGGGGCCCAGGACAGACCTTCCCACCTTGCCTTCTTCCTTATATTAGAGCCTCAGGCTTTGTGTCTCTTTCCCATCGTCTTGAAACTCACCATGCTGCGGCTGCTAAATTCCCTCCTGTTTGTGGCCCTCGGTAAGACCTCAGCTTATGTCTATGCTTCTTGTACGTGCTGGGCTGAGTCCTTGAAATCTGCCACCTACCTTGGACCCCATTGCACCTAACACCTGGTTGCATAGGAGGGGTCTCAGCCTGTACCTGGGGTAGGATTGTGGGGGCACTGGAGCATGAGAATGGAGGGACTGACTCAGGAGAAAAAATAGGAGCATTAAAGGACTATAGTTGGATTCCTCAACTGGGGGTAGTAAACAAAGTCTAATTGTTACAAGCATGGGCTCTGTGGTTAGAATTCTTGGGTTGAAATTTCTGCTCCTACATTTAATACCCAACTCTTCTTTCATACTCTCCCACCTTGCTCTATACCTTGTGGTCTAGCCTTTTCTTGGCCCCTCTATCATTATATTACAGCTCAGGGTCACCTCCTCCAAACAGCCTACCTTGACTGATGATGATGGTAACAGATAATGTATTGAGTGCTTATTAGGCACAGTGCTAAGGGTTTTTCGTGTGTTATCATTTACTAACTCATGCAATACATGTATCAGCCCCCATGAGGTAAGTGCTATTATTATCCATTTTTTACAGATGGGGTAACAAAAACTGACCCTCAGAGAGGTGAAGTAGCTCAGCCTAGAGTGAAGGACTATCTTAGTTATCTAGTGCTGCTATAACAGAAACACCACAAGTGGGTGGCTTTAACAAACATATTTATTTTCTCATAGTTTAGGAAATTAGAAACCTGAATTCAGGACACTGGCTCTAGTGGAAGGCTTTCTCTCTCTGTCCACTGTGGAGAAAGGTCCTTGGCTCTTTGAGCTTCTGCTTTGGGCAGCGTTTTATTTATGTATTTATTTATTTATTTATTTACTTACTTACTTACTTACTTTTACTGTGTTGAAAACATAAACAAGACATTAACCAACATAACAACTTCCACATTTACAGCTCGGGGACAATGATAAAATTTTTCTTGTTGTGCCATCTTTTTTCTTTTTAATTGTGATTTGGGTGAAAGTTTACAGAGTAAATTCACTTTCCATACGGCAGTTCACACACACGTTGTCTCATGACATTGACTACAATTTACCCCAATGCAACAGCTCCCCTCCCACTTCTTCCTGACAGTTACCGCTTCCCTGTGTCCATCCTTTCATGCACTCCTGCCCCCCTGAGCTGTCTTGCTGTGCATAAGCAGCCCTTCTTTCTCCCATGATTGTTCTCTCCAAGGAATGTATCTACCTCAGGTACATGTTCAACTCATATGCCTGTCTTTTGTTTGGCTGGAAGCCACAGATATGGGTTCAATTCCAGACCTGAAGGGCAGCTAGGGGCCATAGTCTCAGTGGTTCCACCAGGCTCTATTGGACAAGCAAACCTTGTCCCTCCCCCTTTTTTTTTCCAAATGATTTTGAGTTTTGTTCCACATTGTTCTCCCTCTCTATCCAGGATCTCCTACATAGACCCCCCTCTGAGTGGTTGACAGTGATAGCAGGGCACCATCCAGTTCTTCTGGTCTCATAGTCATATAGGCTGTGGATTGCATGGTATACCAGTCTCTAGGACTAGTTGTTTCCATGAATCTTTGGTTTTCTTCATTCTTCTTTGCATTGGACGAGGAGAGACCTATCATTGTGTCTAGATGGCTGCTTGTAAGCTTTTAAGATCCAGTCACTGCTTGCCAAATTAGGAGGTAGAAAAATATTTTGTGTAGTATGTTATGCCAATTGAGCTTGATGTCCCCTGTGACCATGGTCCCAAGCCCACAGGTTCAACTACTCACTCCCTCTGGGTAGCTGGCTGTGCCCAGGAAGTGACTACAACCTTGTCTGCTTTGGGCAGTCTTCATGTGGCTTGGCATCTCTCACCCCCCATCTCTGCTTACTCCTTTTATCTCTTGCAAGAGATTGACTCAAGACACATTTTACACTAATCCTGCCTCATTAACATAACAGAAAACTCATTCCTAAGTGATATTATGACCACAGGCATAAAAGTTAGGATTTATAACACATATTTTTGGTGAACACAATTCTTTCATAACATTCCACACTTTGGCTCCCCAAAATTTATGTACTTCCTACATGCAAAACACATTCAACCTATCACATCATCCCAAAAGTCTTAAATTAAATCCAAGTCCAAAATGTCATCTTCTGAAACATCTAAATTATATATGGTTAAGACATTAGGGGTATTCCATCTTGGGGCAAAATTCCTTTTCATCCATAAACCTGTGAAATCTAAAATACAAGTTACCTATTTCCAAAGTACAAAGATGGAACAGGTACAAGGTAGACATTTCCATTACAAATGGAGAAATTGGAGGTAAAGAAGGGATAACAAGCAACTAGCAAGTCCAAAACCCAGCAGAACAATTGACACTAATGCTCAAGACTTGAAAATAATCTGTTCTCTGAGACCATCTGGGAAATGGCCCTAGCCTCCAGCTTCTGGGGATTGACCATGCTGCCTGGATTCGGTGTGGAGGCCCCTTGGCCCTGGGCTTCAGCTCTGCTTTCCAGACCACTGGGATGGCAACTCTGCTCCTTCAGCTTTGGATGGCCCCATTCTCCTAGTCTATCTGAATAGCAACCTCATCCCCTCACCCCCAGCAGGCTCCATTCTTCTGTCTCTTAGGCATGACAGCCCTGCTGCCCCAGCTTTGGGCAGTGGTGGCCCTATCCTCTTGGCCAAAGTAAATGGCAGCCCCACAGTCTGGAACCAAGTTGGTGAAGATATGACTCTTTGAAACCTAGGAGGCCATGGTCCTACCCTTTGAAACCCCAGAGGTCATGGCCCCACCCTTTGAAACTGAAAAGTCTCTGTTTCCTGTGCTCCTTCCAATAGTTCTGCTAATCTCCAAGCTGCTCCAGGCATTGTTCTTTTAGTTTCTTGGATGATGACAGATGTAGGTCCCTTGACCCACTTCTTGCTTGTAAAATTCCAAGACACAGACAGCGTTCTCTACTTTCATTCTTTCTCTGTCCCCTTCAGTCTAAAATAATTGGTTTTCTGCTGTGATGGTTAGTTAGATCCATCAATCACAGGTTTAATGCCTTTAACAGAAGATTTTGTAGCCATGAGTTCTTGGTGAGCATTCTGGGATATGTGTCCTTAGTTTATACAACAGAATTTTCCAAGTTCTCTTTTCATTTTGCACAGTTCATTTTTAAATCTATTTCTTTCACCTTCCATTTTACTCTAAGTGGCAAGGAGAAACCACACAGTTCCTTTAAGATCTTACTTAGAAATTTCCTGAGCCAAATATTCAAGTTCATCACTTACAAGTTCTACCTTCCACCAAACATTTTAACATAATTCAGACAAGTTATTTTCCAGTGCATAAAGAGCACCACCCTTCCTCCATTGTCCAATAACACGTTCATCATTTCCTTTTAAAACTTTATCAGAAACAGATTTAACATCCATGTTTCTAGCAACATTCTGTTGCTGGGTCCGTATGTATTCTCTAAGATGATAGAGATTTTCTCAATACCTCTCTTCACTTTCTTCTGAGTCCTCATCAGAACTGCTTTCCATATTTCTACCAATAGTCTAAAACCCTTTCAGCCTCTACCCAATACCCAATTCCAAAACCACTTTCACATTTTAGTCTCTGTTAGAGTGGCACCCTACTCCTAGTACCAAATTCTGTCTTAGTTATATAGGGCTGCTGTGACAGAAATACCACAAGTGGGTGGCTTCAACAGAAATTTATTTTCTCACAGTTTAGGAGGGTGGAAGTCCAAATTCAGGGAGCTGGCTCCAGGGGGAGGCTTTCTTTCTATGTCAGGTCTGGAGGAAGATCTTTGTCTCTTTGAGCTTCTGCTCCTATGCAATCTTCATGTGGCTTGACATCTCTCTTCCCTGATCTCTCTTCACTCCTTTTATCTTTTGTAAGAGATTGACTCAAGACACACCTTACACTAATCCTGCCCCTTTAATGTAACAGAAAACTCATTCCCAAATGGGGTTGTAACTACAGGCATGGAGGTTAGGATTTACAACCTTTATTTTGGGGGGACAAAATTTATCCATGACAGGAGCAGAGCTTCACATTGAACCCGGGCAGTCTGAGTCCAAAGCTTCCATTCTTTATGACAATAGCAGTAGTGTAACTAAGGTTGGTGTCACCCAGTGCAGTAACACATGGTGTTACCTCCTCATGGACCTCCTCCCATACCAGACCATACAGAATCCTTAGTAATATTTGTTATTGATTTTAATATAAATATAGTTATAAATTGTGTAAATGTTATATTTCTTAAATTATATGAATACTAACAACAAAATAGTTTTATAAAAACTTTCTACATTGAATTAGAATATTAGAAAATTACTAGTAACTGAATAGAAGGCTTTTTGATTTTTTGCCTTCTTTTCCTTTAGTTACTACATCATTCTCAAAGAAGTTATTGATATAGGTTCACAGAGACTGATTACCATGATGTTGTAGCTAAAACACCAGAAAGCTTGACAAAATCAGCAATTATGAAAACACCAGCAACAATTAAAACAGCAGTATGTGTTCATAGCTTGTGCAGATGAAACCACATGATTTGAAGCATCACTGTAATTGGGTAATAATGTCAGCTCTGACCAGAGCACATTGGTTGAAAAAGTAAGTTAGCATTAAGTTTCAGCCTTGTAGGTATATTGGTAAATGCAAGACAGGCTTATGAAAAAAACATTTTTGTTATTATAACTAACTACAGGGATATTTCCATAAAAAATAATGAATTGCTGCTGAAACACTGTACCAAAATATTATAGATAGTCATTTTGGTGTCACCCCCTTTGACAATGTCACCCGGTGCAGTCCACATCCCCTGCACCCCTCTAGTGACTCCACTGACAATAGCTATCATTTCTCAAGGGGTCATAGAGATACCAGATGCTGTCCTAAGTGTCCAACTCCTTCAGTCCTCCCATTGAAAGAGGCCACATTTTTCTCTCCATCCCTGCACGCTGGGACACCCTGCTTTGCTCTGCTCACTGTTAAGATGTGACCACTAGAGTCCAGGATGAGGAACAGGCTTGCACAGGATCACACAGCCTTTGCTTCTGGGGGCTCCCTGGCTGACAGACACCCCCACTCTCCCTTCTAGCCTCGGGCTGTGGCAGACCTACCTACCACCCCTCCTCCCGAGTGGTCAATGGTGAGGATGCAGTACCCTACAGCTGGCCCTGGCAGGTAAGAGCAATGCCAGATGCAGTAATTCACACCGTGGACACTGGACTCAACCTCTGATTGTGAAGCATCCAGTCTTCACCTACTACTTCCCTTCCAATTCCCACTCCAGTTTCCAGAGACCCGGAAACTTGGACAATCTATTCCACATGGGGTTTTGCCCATTCAATCTACAACCTTCACTGGGCCATTTGCGTTTTAAATATGTACTCAAGGGAGAGGGCAATGTTTAACCCAAGGGGTGGGAACACTGATGGAGGAATCTCAGGGCCTGTGTTTAGGGAGAGCACCCATTTCTGGAGTCTTCAAATTATATACCAGGGCTGGGAAGTATGAGAACAATAAAGTGGTTGAGGGATTTTTAGAGACAAGTGGAGGGACGTCCAAGGAGCCCTGGTGCCACAATGGTTATACGCTCGATTGCTAATTGAAAGGCTGGAGGCTCAAACCCACCAGTGGCTCAAACCCACTAGTAGCTCTGTAGTAGAAAAGACCTGGTGATCTGCTCTGGTAAAGACAACAGCCTAGGAAACCCTATGGGGCAGTTCTACTCTGTCCTATAGGGTCTCTAACAGTCAAAATTGACCCGATGGCACACAGCAACAACAACAACAGGGGGAAGACTGGAGGGGATAGATTTGCCACCTGTCTAATGCAGTTGTCACTGGATATCTGTGGCTTTTTAAATTTAAATTAATTTAAAGTAAATAATGTTAAAAATTCAGTTCCTCAGTTGTACTTGCCACATTTCAAACACTCAACAGCAACATGTGGCTAGTGGCTACCACATTGGAGAGCACAAATATGGAACATCTCCATCACCACAGAAAGTTCTACTGGACAGCACTGGTCTAGAGCAGAGGTCAGCAAACTTTTCTGTAAAGGGCTAGAGAGCGTAAATATTTTCTGTTTTGTGGGCCACGTGATTTCTTTTGCAGCAATTCAACTCTGACATTAGGGTGCGAAAGCATCCGTAGATGATATGTAAATGTGTGAGTGTGGCTATGTTCCAATAAATCTTTATGAACAAAATAAGACCAGGGGCTACATTTGATCTGTGAGCCAGAGTTCACTGACCCCTGATCAAGAGGGAGCTTTTTTTTTTTTTTTTTTTTAATTAGGATTTGGGTGAAGATTTACAGAGTAAATTCACTTTTCATACAGCAGTTCACATATACTTTGTCTCATGTCATTGACCAAAATTT